TCTATAGGTTTTTGTTTGATTTGGTTTTATGTAACCCAGATTGGCCTTGACCTTGTCAAGTTGCCCAGGCTGGACTCAAACTCCTGATCCTCCTGTCTCAGGCGCCACAGTAGAGTTCTATCAGTATTTATTTCCAGTGTTTGCAACTGTGTAGTTTGGTACAGACATGCTTAGCATTATTACATCTTGATAGGTTGACTACTTTTTCCTTATATAATGTCCTCAGTCTCTAGTAAAGCTTTCTTTACCCTGAAGTCTACTTCTATGACATTAATAGAGCCACTCCAGCTTTTTTTTTATTATATTTTCACAATCTTTTTCCACCCTTTGCTTTCAGCCTGCCTAAATCATTATATTTAAAGTGTTTCTTACAGATAGTATATAATTGGGCTACTTTAAAATACATCTGTTCTACTAATCTCCAGCATTTAAATTCGTCTATTCAGATGATTTATATAACTACTTATATAATTTATAATATTATAGTAATACATTGGCTGTAAATCTAAATTTTTCTTTGTTTTCAGATTGCTGTTTCTACTTTTGTTTCCATTTTTTTTCCTTGCACTCCTCTGGGGTACTTGAACATCTCTTAAGATTGTCTCTTTTTGAGAAAAAAATATTTATGTACTTTGTATTTATTTAAAGACGGGGGTCTCATGTAGTCCAGGCCAGCCTTGAACTTGCTACGTAGACAAGGTTGACCTTGAATTGCTCATCCTACTGCCTCTACCTCCCTAGTGCTAGAATTGCAGGTGTGAACCAACACACTTGGTTTTTATGGTGCTAAAGATTGAACCCAGGGCCTTGTGCATGCTAAGCAAGCACTCTACCAACTGAGCTACATCTCACCCCCTTTATAGTGTCTTTAAGAATATTTTTTGACACAGCCATGTAAGAAGTGTTTTTTTAAGTCTTCCCCCTACCTTCCCTCCATCCCTTCTCTCATCACATTGTGCTGTCGTCTTCATTTTACCAGTTCAAATCAAACGCATAAACTTTACCTCTCTTTACATGTTTTACCCTCCCCCCTTGGAATGTGATTATCTAGATATTTCCACTATATACTTCTAGAACCACCTCAGACAGTATTGGAATTTTTGCTTCAACTGTTAACCTAGAAAATTCAAGAGAAGAAGAGAGTCTATTTATCCACATTTTTGTGTATTATATCCTTTCTTCCTGGTGTGTCAAGATTTCTTCTTTTATTATTTTCTTTCTGTTTGGAGAATCTAGAAGGCAACTCTTTCAGGACAGGTCTGATAGTGACAAATTCTTTTAATTTTCCTTTATCTGCAAACATCTTGATTTCCTTTTCATTGCCTGGAAGATATTTTTGCTGAATTCAGGTTTTGGAGTCTACAGTTCTTTCCCTTCAATATACCTGAAAAAATAAAAACATGCCACTTTTGTGGGGCCTGGGCGGTTTCTGATGAATCAGTATCATTCAAATTATTCTTCTCTATCAGCAAAAAAATCGCTTTTACTTTTGTTGGTCTGAGGGTTTGTTCTGGTTTTTAATTTTGTTTGAGTAATGATTCTTGGTGAGCCCAACTCCCTTTCTTTGTTTACTATACTACCCAGTTCTTAAATTTCTACTTGTTTCTTCTTCATTCATATCTTTTATTTCTTCACCAGTACTTTGTCGTTTTTCATTTGTTTTGACGGTATCTGTAATTGCTTGTTGAAGCATTTTTATGACAGCTGTTTTCAAATCACTGTCAAATGATCCTAATATTTCTGTTATCTTGAAGCTAGCATCTGTCGATTGCTTTTAAGAAAATCAAGATTGAGACATCCTTGGTTCTTAATATGATGAGTGATTTTTCAATGGCAATATGGATATTTTGAGAATCTGAATTTTTTTTAACTTTAAAAAAATTATTGAGAATTTCATACATGTTATAAAGTGTTTTGATCAAATCCACGCCCACTCCCCCCCCCAACTAGAGAATTTGAATTTTATCCAAACCTTGTTCTATCCCACTGTCTCTGACATCACTTCAGCAAGAGAATATGGGGATTCCCCACATGCCGCCTTGTTAGTGCCAGACTTACACTTTCTAACGGGCAATTTATGTTTATTTTCTTTGAAATGGTTTGATAATGGTGCTTGTATTTTATCCATCATCTTCTTTTTTTATCTCCTCTCTCTTTTGGCATTCAAAAACACACCTGAAACCAGTATTTCCTACTGGATGCCAGCAAGTGGATTTATAAATATCAAAGCCAGAGGCTTTGAACGCGTCAGTGACAATTAGGGCATATCATGCATGTCTTTATGTCCCTTTTCCTCTTCTTACCTCCCTCCCACCTCATGTCAAAGTGTGATGTTTACATGTGTGGAGGAGGCCAAGGATGCCTAGAGGGTCCTGAGAAAGGCTATGAGGGCTTCTAAAATCCCTTTCCTCACCAAATATGCACAATATTGTACATGCACATTTTCTTAGGGGTTCCAATTAGATTCCTAAATTTGAACACGACCAAAGAGATTAATTAAGAACCATTAATTGCAGCAAGTTAAAAAATGGAAAAGATAAAATTGCGTGTTTTAGTTACTGTGAGGGGCTCAGGCTAGAACAGAGACCGGTATGGTTGTGCTGTGAGCTCTGCCTGGATGAGTGGCTGTTGTTGACAACTGCAACTTCTGGGACCAGCAGCCTGCATCCCTTGTATAGAGCTGGGAAAAGCAAAACAGACCCTCGAAATGAGAGAAGAAGCATGTCTACTGAAAGAAGCCTGGGTCTAGAATTTCAAAAGCTATCCAGGAAAAAGAAGGCTAACCATGTGCTGGGGAAGCACTAGCAAAGGAGCCACACTGGGGCCTGGGTGCGGGCGTCTACAGCAAGCAAAGCCCACAGAGAAGAGGTGGTCTCTCAGGTGACAGCCGGGCGGGGAAGGTTGTCCTTGATGTTCAAAAAGTCAAATTAGTAACAAACAAAATCCATCCAAGAAATAGATGGCAAGAAATTAAAGTGGATTGAAGGCTAGAGGAAGCAGGAGGGAGCACTGTGAAGGGACCCCAGGACTACCTTGTAGTAGTGATCACGAGTATTTCAGCTGAGCCCCGTGCAGATAGAAACCCAAAGGAAATCAGAGCTGGCTAAGTGGGTTCGGCTCCTGCGGGAGTAGGGTCCTAATCAAATCCAAGGCATTTCTGTTTCTGAAGCTTCTCTCATTTCTGCTCTATGCTCAGGCTTTGAAAACCGTATTCAAGCTATTTCATCCCATTATCTCTAGGGTTTCTAAGACAAGAAAGACTATCCAGGGCATCCATCTAAAGAGGACATCAATTCTAGAGGGCTATGAATACAGCTTCCATCCCCCTTTCCAGGTTGTCTGAGTACTGGGGAAGCTTGGGAAAGAGGCAGGAAGATCCTGACATGAATTGACTCTCACAGGCCACATGAGTTCTCCAAGAGATGGGTGTGCTCAAGCCTTCTGTTAGCAGATGTTCAGCAACTGTCATGAGATTGTCTCTTCTGGATACAGTTCACAGAACAGGGCCCTGGTGGGGCTCCTAAAGCTCCTATTCATTAAGAAATCCACACACTCAAGCATGGATTTGGGGTGGGTATGTGTGTCCGTGTTTGGTGGCATCAGGAGATGTATAAGGTAGGCATCAGGTAGACTCCCTTGAGGAATTCCCCATTCACCTGAAGTAACACTTTCAAAGAATATGGTTGTTCTAAAGGAGAATCCCTGTGTAACTGCAAGCTATAAGCACAATTACCAGATGTTCCAGCAAACAGGAGAGCAAACTCTGAGATAGGTATGCACACTCTCAACACTGCCTCAGTTACTTCTGTAAATAACTGTATAGGATAGTTATTATTCTCATTTTAAAAATAAAATCACAGTTTCAGAGACTAAGTGTCTTGCTTCCAGTCACACTATATGGTCAGACTAGACCCTGAGCCTAGAACCTGGCACCTCTGACACTCTATCATGTTGCCAGGGAGCATGCTTGCTCTTGAGTTACTCCTAAGAATATGGCAGGAGACTTGAAAACTTGTCTAGAGCCAAACAGATGTCTTGAGTAACACTATGCTTTAAACTCAGCTGCAGGACTGACAATCTTGTCACTCCCAGAACATCTTTCATTTGGCCCTGCTCAACATTCACACTTGGACTTGTCCTCAGTGCCAAAAGCATGAAATGCTAAGTGGATTAAGGCAGATAAAACAGAGGAGTTAGCAGGTCAGCCTGGGCAAGGGAGAGTGGCAGAATGCATCCTGGCAGGGGGGAGAGGGAAGGAGGGACTCAGAGGCTGTGACTGCTGGCTGATGGTCAGGTTCCCCTGCCACAAGAGGAGATGGACCATGTGCAGAGGGCATGGAAAAGGGTGAGTTGTTCATTGTGGGGTAAAGCACACATGCAGTGGTATTCTGAGGCTCATATGAGTCTACAAGAGTGACTTGAAATGATCATAATTGAGGGACTGGAGCGATAGTGCAGTAGGTTAAATGTTTTCATGTAAGCATGAGGACCGAGTTTGAACCTAGGATCTATGCTAAAATCTAGGCATGGTGGTTACTTGTAATCCCGACGCTGGGGAGGTGGACAGTCAGATCCCTGGGGCTCACTGGTCAGCCAGTCTAGCCTAACGAGTGAGCTCCAGGTCAGCAAAATACCATGTCTCAAAAAATAAAATGGCTGGCTCCTGTGAAACAGCATCTGAGGTTGGCCTCCAGCCTCCATGTGCATGCAGATACACATGTGTATCCCCACCCCCACATATGTTATACACAAGCAGATTGATCTTACATTGGTAGTGTAAAATGAATTACATTGGGTACATTTATACCACAGAAACTGGCAAGTGTTATAAATGTTTTTCAGAGCTGGTTGTTAAACATTTACCAGCACATTTGGGCATGTGTGTGTGCATATATGTTATATCCTGCTAAAAACAGAGTTTAGCAATCACCAAAAAGAGGCCTGGCAACAGTTAGAGAAAGGCATACCAGGCAGAACTACCCACGTCTTGGCATACTCACCAGTCTCAGATTCTTCATCGCTTGGGGAAACATGCCTTGATGTAGCTGCAGCTTGCCAACTTTCATTACCTGTACTCCTCTGACAGGATGGCTTCCAGGGAAAAAAATCCTGGAAGAGAGCAAAAAGCAAACAGTGTCAGCAGTTCTCACCTTTGCAGTCGGCATTTCATCAGGAGACTAGGAAACTGGGAATGATCTCTAGCTGTGAATATTAATGAGCTACTGAAAGGAAATTAGTTTGCGATTCAGAATGCAATACCTAGGGGAACTGATCCTTCAGTTCCCCAGAATACCTTCTGCATTGGGGGAAAATAATGCAACTGGATGCTTTTATGGCAAAGACTAGAGAAGAGAAACAGAAGTCTGGATCCCTACATTTATTTCTTGAGGATGCTGCATTGTATTTTCAGGTACTAATCCTATTCTGGTTCTCATCCATGAAGCTCCTATACTGGCCTATCAATGTATGTTTGTGGAATAAATGAGAGGAACTGTGGTACAGAATATCTGTTAAACAGGAGACTTTAACCCTGGGTTCCACAGGTTTGTAGATGAGGAGAAGCACTATCTAAGAGATGGCTTGGAGCCACATGACTGTCCAGGCAGGCGCCTTCCCTCTCTGGAGAAGCAGCATTGGGAGTGTGCCCTGATGCCATAATTCTGTCTATTCTCTCTCTCTCTCTCTCTCTCTTTCTCTCTCTCTCCCATCATCTATCAATCAATCATCTATCTATCAATCATCTATCAACTAACTATATCATCTATCTATCTATCTATCTATCTATCATCTATCCATCATCTAGCTATCTATCAATCATCTAAGTGTATCTATCTATGTCTGTATCCATCATCTATCAATCAATCATCTAGCTATCAATCATCTATCAAATAACTGTATCTATCTATCTATCATCTATCATCTATCTATCTATCTATCATCTATCCATCATCTATCAGTCTATCATCTATCAATCAACCTTCTAGCTATCAATCATCTATCATCTACCTATCTATCATCATCATCTATCCATCATCTATTTATCTACCATCTAACTCTATCTATCTATCTATCTATCTATCTATCTATCTATCTATCTATCTTCTATCAATCGATCTAGCTAGCTATTTAGCTATCTATCAATCATCTTACTCATCTATCCATCATCTATCTATCAATCATCTAACTATATAATCTAACTCATCTATCATCTATCTATCATCTATCTATCTATCTATCTATCTATCTATCATCTATCATCTATCAATCATCTTCTATCATCTATCTATCTATCATCTATCTATCTATCATCTATCAATCTATCATCTTCTATCATCTGTCTATCTATCTATCTATCTATCATCTTTTTCTATCATCTATCATCTATCATCTATCTGCTGAATAACTGTATGAACGTTTCTGTGATTCCAAATACCATACTTCCCCTCTAAAGGCAAAGCCCTCTGACTGAGTCTGGGCTGTGGAGTTCTTCATGGCCCACCTTTCTTACAGCACCTGTGCATTTACTTTATCATCTGGCTGGATCACACTGTTGTTTAAGGTGCCATGTCTGAGGTATGCTCTCAATGTCTGGCATGCAAGAAGAACGCAACATATACTTGAGTCTTTCACACTTAGTTTATTTTCCTGTGATAAAAAAACTCTGACAAAAAGCTATTTAAGGGAGAAAGGGTTTATTTGGTTCACAATTCCAGGTGACCTTCCATCATGGCAGGTAAGTCACAGTGGCAGAGGCCTGAGACAGCTGGTAATATTACACCTGTCCACAGTCAGGAGAAGACAGCAATACATGCATGCATGCTGTGCTTAGCTTACCCTCTCACTCTACATAGACCAGGCTTCTCTGGCCTAGGGATGGCCCCATTCACAATTTAAACTGGGTCTTCCCACATCAATTAACATAATCAGGGCAATCCTCAAAGATATTCTCAGAGGCTCCCTGGTGTGCCTGGAGAGCTTGCCTCTTGCCTCCTAGGTGCTGAGCTGACAATTAATACTAACCATCACACACATAGAACAGCATAGAATGGATGTTGCACTACGTCACAGAACGAGGCCTCAGGACCATGCTTCAGGCTTCATGAAAAGCTATATTAATTAAATTAACTCAAGAAGTTGCCACATTGGATTCAACAATGGCCTTTTCTGCCGCCACCTGGCTCTAAGAGAATGCTGAACTGCTGCTGCCTGTGCAGGATCATGTCCAGGACCCAGGGACACTGAATGCAAATGAGCATTTCCCTCAATGCCCAATAATCCCTCCAGACGCAGGCAAACATCCGTGCAAGGGTTAAAACAATATTCCAGGTAGGAAAGTGATTTAGAGCACAAATCCGGTAAGCCTTCATTTATGCCATATGTTCAGTTCAAATGTGTTGACCTGAGCAGAGGGAAAAAGTGATACAGTAGTTAATGGAGACAGTGGACTGGCAGCTGGGCGGACTGGAGAAGGCTTCCGAGAGGAGGGCACCAGGAGTAAACTTGTTCTCAAGAACTTGAAAGGCCTCTAGTGCAGGCAGGGCAGGCATTTACATGACCAGGAAGAACATGCAGGGCACACTCCTGATGTGGCTTCTTAAGAGGGGGAGGCACCCACTTCAGTGGCCACACAGACAACCTAGGAGCCATCTCTGATGGAGCTGGCCCTGTGTGGCCCTGTTCCAGCAGCTTTTCTACTATGAGCCCCCGGAGTCCATAGTTAAGCTCTCCTGAGTACCAGATACTCCACACCCCATGCCCTCGCCCCAGCTCTTCTTCGTGAAAGATGATATAGAAACTTTCCCACTCATGCTCTTACAAAGGTGGAGTGTGAACCTGGGGGCAAGCACTGTGCCGTGGAAGGCGGGCCATGCCTCTTGAAGACCTGAAAAGGGAAGAACAAAGCAGACACCTGGGTCCTGGATAGCCTTCATCTCTGGTGTGTGATCTGAGGTCAGTCGTTTCACCCCTCGCCCCTTCCAGAACGAACATCATTATGGATTGTATGGAAAAGATTTCAAGATCCCCAGACAAAAGGCTTAAGTGCAGGATGCCATTATCAGAAGGTAATTGCCCCGGACATGTTCCCTGAAAAGCACACCTGGATTCGGGATTTTATTTTATTGCTGTGACTATGGTATAGTTAAATTTAAAGGCCAAAAAGTAATTTTATACTAATAATCTCTCCACTAAGTGGGTGTCTGTCATGTCAGTGAACAGAAAGAAAGGAAATCTTTTTGGTTCTGTGATGGCATGCATAATTATGCCATGACAGATACCTGCATCGGTCACCAAAAGATTTTAAGAAAACCAGTGGAGTTTCTTAGGAAGGCATGAGGGGGCTCCTGTGGGAAAGGGGGATTTCTACATAAATATTCAGTGCTCAGTGAGGAGGCACTGATTGGGACTTCTGTCTCTGGAGGCCTCCCAGCTGACCCATGGAATCTGAATCACGATTACTAGCTGGACAAGTACCTTAAGGAGCTCTGGTGAGGAGCTGCTGGGAGAAGTCCTCACTCAGGATGTGGGCCTTTCATCACCTACTGCACGGGATGTTGATGGGAGAGAGGGGGGCCTTCAAGCAGTCCTCAACTCCAGGACTATCAGAAGTTAAGGCCAGGCTGAGAGCCTTAAGGTATGCTGGGGTGAAATGGGAATTCCAAAACCTAGCTGTGGGATGTGGGCTCTGGGCTCAGTGCTCTCACACCTCTGAAAAATTCAAGGTGAGGTCTTGACCTTGGTGAATACAAAGTTAAGGAAATGAGCCAAATTAAGTCACAACACAGAGAGACATATGAGCTCCCTATCCCCCACCCCCAATACAGCTCCGACACTGGTGCTCTGGGAGCAGCCAGGACCACAGTGACTGAGGGCACAGCAAGAATGTGCTGGTTTAGGCTGATGACAGGATGAGATCCCCAGCTCAGCCTGCAGGGTGCAGGAAAGGGCACAGGAAAGGGCAGGTGACTTTGGCGATGGTAGGGGAGGCAGAATGCAAAGGTGGAAAGGAGGTACACTGAAGATCAGGCTGTGTGCCAGCAATCGTGTCCAGCTTACAAATCTGTGGGGACTGAGAATATTTCATCAGATAAGAAACACAGAGAACTGGAAAAGAGATCCTAGTGACACAGACACTTGGGTTAACATGGTGGCCACAAGGGAAGGAAGACTTGAAACAAAAAAAGTTACAGTGCTGATTCAACAGGACCTGGAGACCTGCTGGGATACAGCCAGCAATCACGGTGATACCCCAGACTCAGAAATTCCTCCACAGAAACACACAAGCATATTATACCATACCAAAATCATTGGATTTGGATAAGGCATTCAACTTGTCTGAGAATTACAAATGTTATTTTCATAAGAACAAGGTTAGCAATCCCATATCCCAGAAAGTTGAGCTTAGAAAGCAAAAACTGCCCTCAGTGCTTCTGTGGTGAGTAAGGGCATAGAGGAAACAAGCTTAAACAAGCAGAGAATGGATGCAGTGCACACCGGCTTTAGCTCCGACCTACAGGCACCCAAGATCTTGTTGTCATGTTTTGGCAGGAGGCTGAGAGTCAGGGAACTGGTGTATCTGAATTAAAAGACCCAGAGAAGTAAAACCGGAAGGCAGAGTCTCTGCTAGTCTGGCTAGGCTTTTCCTATGTGATGCAGTTACCACTTACATTGTTTCATTAGCAGTCCTGGCTTTGGCAGTTACACGGTGGGAGAAAACATTATTCAGGTCTGTTTTTAAAATTCTTGTGCAACACTAGTACTAGACCAAAAGGAGAGCTTAACCTTCCCATTGATTCTTTATTTTGGAGTTAGGCATATAGATCTGGTTGTATGAATGACAGATGAAAAGTGTGGAATGGTGATAGAGCTAGAAAACTCACTTTGCAACTCCTGAAGATCTGATGGGGGTGGGGAAAGTATCACTAGATAAAACCACTACATGGAAGGAGGATGGAGAATCTTACAGTGTGGGGTTAGGTCATTATAATCTGAACCCAGTGATCTGTCGCTGATATGAGGCAAACAGACATTAAGTACTGGGACAGAATAGAAACTACTTTGCTTATTTATAGCACCTTTGTTAAACCAAACAAAAATCAACAAACCAAAAC